TTCGATATTAAATATTGAATATTAAAATTTAGGATGTTAAATAAAATTTAGGTCACAATTCTACAATAAAATTTACAAAATATTGCCTTAGCTATTTTTTTTAACATCCTTTTGTCTCTAATATTTATTTAATTTAATTTTTTTAAAAATCCGTTGGGCCCACTTAGCCCGCGGGCGGGGACCGTTTAGCCCGGGACTAAACGGTCCCGGGCCGGTCCCTACAAAAAGACCGTTTAGCCCGGGACCGTTTGGCCAGATTAATTTGGGATCGGGACCGTTTGGACCGGCCCACTTGACCCGTTTAGGCTTGGGATCGGTCCACTTGCCACCCTTAATTTGGATAGATTGTATTGTTTATCGTTGTTTAATAACATATTTATTGTTACCACGCAAAAACTCCCCATTTTTCATGGTTATATGACAACGAAGTTACAACGAGTTTACAACACCATACAACATAATTTTAAGAACAATGGAAACAAACATGGTATCAATGAAAATAATACAATAATGAACCACGGGAAATAACCATACAAACAGGGGGTTAGGAACTGTTTGCACTACAGCATTGACATCCCAAAGATCAACACATTGAGCAACTGTTACCCGATGGCTTTCTGAGATTACTTGGAAGGGCGACGTAAGGCTAAGTAACCAATGTCCGTAAGGTTACTATCCGCCAACCGGGGTCCCCTCCGTCACTAGACAAGACTGTCAGTGTCATATGGAAAAACCGATGTCAAAAACAATTGAGAGAACAGAAAAAAGAATGCATACATAAACGAGAGACCCAAATATCTTTGACATCATACTGCAAACTGCTAGTTCATAAAACAACTAAATAATGAGGTACCAATATTAGCCAAAGGTAACCTGACTAGTAAGAAACCAAAGCTACATTGTCCATAAGAAAAAGAAATACCAAGGACATTTAATATGGATTTCTCTATTTCATACTCGGTAAATCTTCAGACCAGAATCTCAAAACAGCAACATATCAGAAGAAGCATCGATAGGTTGAATAGGGCAAGGCAGCTGCCATGGCTCAAGCAAAGTGTCGGGAATTTCAGGGAGGTCAACAGGAAATCCAGTAGCATCAGCCCAAAATTGAGTGAGCGAGTTCAGTGAATTCAAACGTTCAGTCAATTCAGCAATCTGAGCCCTCAACACATTGTTCTCTGCATCGATGGCACAATAATTTCTTTCAACAGAATCAATCCTCTCGCGGCAGATACTGTTCTGGTTCTGTAGCTGTGTTGTTTCGCTCATCAACTCCCCCAATCGCTGCTGCTTCCTCATCCGTGACCTACGAGCAGACTCACGGTTGGATTCCATTCTCTTCCTTTTCCGTTCATCAAACTTTGCATACCGCTGGTCTGCATCAGAACCAGAACTCACCGCTTGCTGAGTAGAAGCCATGTCGATTTGATTGACAATCAATATGTGAAACAACGGGAAACTTTGTATCCTCTTTTTTTATTAGATCGGCAAAATTTGGTAGTGTAGCTACAATAATCCTAAAATTAAATTGGACCGGGACAATGATGAATACGGCTAGCTCATGAAATTACGTAGAACCAGTAAAGAAAGACTACTGAGAAAGAGTGCAGAATACGAATTCGACGCATCTGGATAGCGTATGTCATGAATAATTTTGGAACTAAGAATCAAACATGGAAATTGTTTAAGAAATCCCAATCAATCTCTGGGAATCAAACAAGGCGTGTGAATAGATCCAAATCCAACGAGCGGGTGAAGGTATTAACAAAAAAAATCTGCAATCGCACACAACAAACAAGATCGTTAAAAGGGGCCAAAAACTAGATCAAAAGGCAAAACAAATTCATTCATAAGAAGAACCCAAATAAACAAACTAAGTTTCACCCGAATTAATTGAGGTCGGCTTTATGAATCATCAGCTCTATTAAACTATTCTAGACTATCTTTATGTTGATGATTAACCTACCTAAAAGATTACTTTGGATATAAGACATTCCTATACAAAGGAAAGGTAAAAGTACTAAAGTTCACATCTTTTCTTAATTATTGTTTAAAAAGTTCTAATCTTTCAATCCTAACAAGAACCCAAATCAATAAACTAACCCTAACCCAAATTAATTGAGGCTCATCCTTACATTTATCAGCTCTATAAAACTATTTTAGACACCTTTATTTTGATAACTAACCTACCTAAGATAATTACTTTGGATATGAGTAATTCTGCTAAAGTTCAAATCTTTTCTAATTTTTGGTTAAAAAGTTTAGATCTTTCAATCAATATATATACTAATAAGTATTCATTATTGGGATTCGGGATAAAATCCATCTGCTTTTTTGTCTCTATTTTTTTTAGATTAATTATCCATCTTCTCTTTATCTGTACAAGAATTATAAGGATAGAAAAAGAAACTGAAATCAAAGAAAGACACAGATATACAAAAAGGGATACAGAGTTAATCTTAACAGAAATCGGAATAAAAACAAACAAATAGAAGAACTAAAAGCAGACAATAAAAATAATAAACAACAAAAAACAATAAATGAAAATACTGAAGATAAAGAAGCCGAAAAGGAAAAAAGGAAAAAAAAAAAGGTAAAGGAGAATAGGCATACCTTTGCAAAGGAGTAGAACAAAAGGGTCGAAAGAATGTTATGTAGGGTGAGAAGAGGGGTTTATATAGGGGAAGTGGAAGAAGCGTTTTGAGAAAATTAAGGATAATTTTTTATTATTTTAAGGAAAGTTGTGTCATCGGTGTCATGTGATTGGCTGCAGTGTGATGACAGCTAAACTGAGTTTAAAGTCTGAGGTAAGTTTCCTCTGCCTTTCCTTATTTGTTGCTAAATTCAAAATATTTCCAAATGGTACATCTTTTATTACCTAATCCACGTTTTTATTGTGCATGTAATAATCTATTTTATTTTTACCTTTTCTTCTGATGTTTGGTATCGTGTTAGAACTAATCTACAAATTTAAGATTTATAATTAAAGATAAAAGGATCATATTTATCCCCTTGCAATTCTTGGTGGTGCTTGCAATATCTTCATTATTTAAGTCTTAAAGATCTTACCCGACATTATTATACAAAATAAATAATCAAATTTCTTTGTTAATCCTTTGATGATATGGTTTTAATATGAAAGAGTTTCAAATACCTATGTAGACAATAAATTTGCGTCGAGAAAATAATCGAGATCGAAAAATATTGCAACAATCGTAGTATTTGATTTTAAATAATATGAGTGTACAATCTCTATGAATCCTCTGATTCTTCTTTCTAATAGTAAATAAATCCAAGGGCCTTTGAGCTTGATCTTGAATATGTAGTTGTTGCCACGAACGATGATCTTGAATTCAACTAGCACGAACTTTGATTTGAACTCGTACTCCTTGAATCTTGATTTGTTCTTCGTTCTTGAGCTTGAACTTGATTTGTTCTTCGTTCTTGAGCTTGTACTTGATTTGTTCTTCGTTCTTGTGCTTGAACTTGAACTTGATTGCTTGAACTTGAACTTGTGGAGTAATTTGCAGCGTTTGATCCACGAGTTCTTTCTTGCTTCTTGTTATAACTTCTGATCCCTTTTCTAGGTTATGAAGACCCATATTTATAGTTGTGGAAGGGAAGAGTTATGATAAGAACAAACTCTTTCCGACCAATCAAATTGAAGTGTGACAAGGCCACATTTGATTGGCCAGAACATGTCACTTGCATACGTGACACAGTTTCATTGGTCTTTTAATTTGGCTTGGCATGCTTTGTCATTTTGACACGTGACACGATCCTATTGGCTATTTCGTTTGACTTGGCGTGCCACATCATTTGACACGTGGCACTAAAACGTGCCCTTAGGAAGATGATATCTTGGGCTTAATGAAGTGGGCTCATCACTTTAGCCCAATTAAATGGGCTAGCCCAATAGATTAAGATTTATTTATTTAATCCATATTTATTGGACTTATATAATTAATTCAATTATATTAGTTCATAATATTTATTTAGACCAATATATCTTGAATTTAAAATATACTCCAAATTATTTTATGGATTTAATTTAAATAAAATTTATATGCCTGCAACCTTCTTCTTGAGTTTGGATTTGTAACAATAATTTCTCTTGTGATTTGCCATATTATAGTTTTTCCTTATTTTTATAATTTTGTAATAATTATTTTTTCTTATTTATCGATTATCACTAGTGTAAACAATTGCAGTCTGTTTAATTTGTCCATCATTATACCCGTGTCCTACATAATTAATTAGTTAAATAATCAATTTTTTTAAGTAATAAATAATAACTAATTAACCTCTGCAATTTCTTGGCTTTTTCATGTCTTGTTTGGTAATGGAAATTTAAAATAAGACTTTTTGTTGATTGACCTTTTAGTTTAAAAAATATTTTGTAACTTCAGGGGTGGTTCGATAAATTTGGGGGCCTAAAGCGCAAACTCTTACGATAGGCCTTATTTGAAGTTAACTTTTTAGCTTTTTGAGATGTAAAATTATTCAAAAAAGATTATAATTAATTATTTCTAATAAAAATATAGCAAAACCATTTAATCACTCTTGAGATAGGTTGATCTTATGTAATATTTTATTAATTATAATTTTAAAAATTTCTTATTGCTGAAACAACTGTTAGAGGAGTGTTAACAACTATTAGAGGAACTGAAACAACTATATAGATTGCTATATGAGCATTCGGAAATGTAATATAATTTTTTTTTTTTTAAAAGATAACATACACGCATACTAACTATTAGGAAATTTGCCCCCTC